GATCGGTTGCTAGCATCAGAGCGACGTTCTTGGCGTCAAAGTTTGCTGCAAATGCACTTCGTAAAGTTCACCAGAACCGCATTGCAGCAAAATCGACTAAAGAGCTTGTGAAATTTCAGAAGCCTTCGGAACCTGATTTCTCTGCTGATGATCCTTGACAACAAAGACAAAGATGCTGACTAAATTTACAGAAGTACTAATGTATCTATGAACGCTTGTAAGTTGTAACTCAGATTGAAAATTTCTTTTGTTGTTTGATTTGTGATTCAACACTAAGATAAGATTAAAGTGGTAATATAATTGATTATTTTGATTATGATTGTTTTGTGTTTGCACAATAGAAAATATGAAGGTTCATCAAGAGATGCCATATTTTTCCATAGCAAACTAAACTTGCTCGGGTCGACCTTTCAGAAAGTTTTTGCAGAGCGTCTGCCATAGATTCCTGTCTGGTTGCGCGATTTCCATCGTACTCTTCGCCTTATCCGCAAACTCTTGCTGAAAAAAAAAGACCCCCTAAAGATCGATTACATTTCGATAAAGTTAAAGTCAGTGTGGTTCTGAAAGTGGTCATAGAGGACAAGAACAAACCGTCATAAGCTTCATATTGAGAACACGATCCACAATCTCAAACAGAATCTCTTTGTTATACTCAGGATGACCTTGGATACAGAGAAAATGATCTCCAATCGAAAACATCTCGACTTCGCATACCTCGGAAGAAGCAAGAACTGTAGCAGACTTGGGAAGTTCCAACACTTCGTCCTGATGGCATTTTATAATAGCTAAAGTTTCCGGGACCTCACCTCCAAAGTAACCAGCTAGTTTCTCATTGTCTTTCACTATGCTAATGTTTCTAAGTCCCATATCTGCTCCTTGACGAGCTCTTCCGATTTTCCCTCCTTTAACTCGAGTAATTATCTAGAATCATCATCATCAAAGAAACTCTATGCATCATATCACGACCACTATTACGAAATTCAAGTCATTCTCTAAACCCTAAGAATCCAATTGATCAGATCCAAATCAGGAAATTGAAACCTGGTGACCGAAACAGATGCCGAGAACTTTCTTCTTCATTTGATCGAGTTTGTGGCAAACGGAGCAAAGCTTGACGATCCAATCGGCGTCTGCGAAAGCATCATGTGGACTACCGCTGATAACGAAACCGTCGTACTTGTCGAGATCATTCTCCTCGGGAAATTGGCCGTCGATGACTCGGAATAGATCCCATTGCTCGGATACGTCCCCGAAAGTGGAGACGAAGACGTTGAAGTAACCTCCGTAAGTCTTTTTTACGAAATTGGAGTCGGAAGTCGCTAGAAACAGAGCAAACC